GGGGGGGCGGGCCCTCAGCCCATCTCCCCTTCCCCAGGTCCCAGGAGGGGCCAGGAGCTGCTGAGCCAAGGTGCCACCTTGAGCGGCTGGTACTACCTGTGCCTCCCTGAAGGCAGAGCCCTTCCTGTTTTTTGTGACATGGACACCCTGGGAGGTGGTTGGCTGGTGAGTGTCAGAGACTCACAGGCCAGGCCCAGTGGGCAATTCTGCCCCTTGTCCCCTAGGGGGAGTCAGAGCCCACTGGAGACAGGGCATTTCTTAGAGTAATTCATTGACAAAAGTTGACGGTGCTCCCAGGGGATCTGAAGTCAGGGAAGGCTTCACAGACAAGGTGACATTTGACAGGGCCTTGAAAGCTGTATAGAAGTTCTCAAAACAGATAGAAAGACAGGACAGTGCAGGAGGGTTTGGGGACCAGGTGGGTGAGCTGAGAGCGGGTGTGAGTAGTTGGCTGAGGTCTTCTGGTGCGGGTCAAAAGCCAGTTCGTGGAGGGCCCTGAATGACTGACTGAGGATCGTGGGGGTAACTGGAGCCACGGGAGACTTAAGCAGGGATTTGCCAGGTCAGGCTTATGCTTTAGAAAGATGGCAGCGTGGAAGGTGCATTGTGCAGTGGGGGACAAGAGTGGAGACAGGGCCCTGACCGGTTTGGCTCAGTGGATAGAGCGTCTGCTTGCGGACTGAAGGGTCCCAGGTTCAATTCTGGTCAAGGGCATGTACTTTGGTTGCGGGCACATCCCCAGTAGGGAGTGTGCAGGAGGCAGCTGATCGATGTTTCTCTCTCATCAATGTTTCTAATTCTCTATCCTTCTCCCTTCCTCTCTGTAAAAAATCAATAAAATGTATTTTTTTTTAAAAAAGAGTGGAGACAGGGACACAGGTTAAGAGGATGTCAGAGGCCCGAGCAGAAGACAGTGGGTGGTGGCAACAACGGAAGTAGAGGCACTTGGACTGAAAGATATTGAGGAGGGAAATTCTACAGAGCCTGGGGCAGGGGTGGGCAAACTTTTTGACTTGAGGGCCACAATGGGTTCTTAAACTGGACCGGAGGGCCGGAACAAAAGCATGGATGGAGTGTTTGTGTGAACTAATATAAATTCAAAGTAAACATCATTACATAAAAGGGTACGGTCTTTTTTTTTTTTTAGTTTTATTCATTTCAAACGGGCCGGATCCGGCCTGCGGGCCGTAGTTTGCCCACGGCTGGCCTAGGGACTGCTTGGCTTGACGGGGACTATCGGGGTAAGGTCAGGAGTCCAGCGTGGGCATCCGGCGGTGACCTCTCTGGTATAATATCTTGGTTCTTATCAAAGTGAATTCAAGCAAGTTATTTTGAATCTGGCTCCCAGCAGGACTGACCATCTCAGGAAACCAGGAATGAGGATTCTATTATTTCAGTCTCCCCCAGGGCTTACAAGGCTCTGGTGTGAAGTTGAGTGTCACTAACTATGTTACTGGCACTAACAGTTAATAAGAGGATGCAGAGTTCGTCGATATATGCACAGGCAAAGCTCACTTGGACTCACACTTTATCAACAAGCCCCAATCCAAAGAGTCCAGAGTGTTTGCCTGCTTCTCCTCAGCCTACGTCCAGCCTGGAGGAGTGGCTGGTGTGCCAGCCTGCTCTGCCTCCCTAGGTGTTCCAGAGGCGACAGGATGGCTCCGTGGATTTCTTCCGCTCTTGGTCCTCCTACAAAGCAGGTTTTGGGAGTCAGGAGTCCGAATTCTGGCTGGGGAATGAGAATCTGCACCAGCTGACTCTCCAGGGTAAGTTCCCAGCAGGGTCCAGGGAGCCTGAGGGGCATTCCTCTGGCATCGGGGCCTGAGGATTCCTCCTCCCTGTCCCCACCCTAGGTACCTGGGAGCTGCGAGTGGAGCTGGAGGACTTTGATGGCAACCGCACCTTTGCCCACTACGGGTCCTTCCGCCTCCTTGGCGAGTCGGATCACTACCAGCTGGTGCTGGGCAAGTTCTTAGAGGGCACTGCTGGTGAGCGACCCTCAGGCGGCGCCCTGGGTTAGGGGCAAAGGTGAGGGAGGCTGGATACTTGCCCAGCACTGCCTCTGCCTCCACGATGACCCAGGACAATCCCTTCTCCTCTGTGGGCCTCAGTGTCCTCCTCTGAGAAATGGCAATCAGGAGGCCAGGTGGTACAGGAGGAGAGAATTTGGGCTCTGGAGGCAAACAGACCTGGGTTTGAATCCACCTCTGTCATTTACTAATTGTGTGAGCCTGGGCGAGTCCCTTCCACGTCAGAGCCTCGCTAACTGTTCTGTAAAATGGACCAGGAGGCAGGGAGGGAGGCGGTGGGACTCTAAGGTCTGTTGCGTGTTAGCAATATCTTCTTGGAAGAGGAACCAGGGGAGGCTTTTTTTCAGAGAAGCAGCAACTGTTGAGGAGAGACTTGAAAGGGGGAAGTCTGCCTCAGGGGAGCCCCCTTTCCTGCCAGCCATCTGAGAAGTCCCTCCCAGCTCCCCCTGACCCAGCCGCTCAGGCTGCTGGTGGGAGCTGGGAAGAGACGAGGAGCTGGAGGGAGGCTGGGGATTCTGTGAGGGGACAAGGCAGCGGGAGGAGCTGGTGGCTTTGGAGCCACAGTCCTGAGTTCAAGTCCAGTGCCCCTGCGACTAGCTGAGTAACCTGGGGCAAACACTGGCTCCTTGGTGCTGCTTTCTCTCGGGGCCTGATGACACCCACCTCTCAGTTGCTCCGAGGCTCCTGGGAGGTCATCTCTCCCAGGGCGCCCGGCAGGGTGCCGCCTCCAATGTGCCTCCCATCCCCTCTCTGCCAGGAGACTCCCTGAGCTTTCACCACGGGAAGCGCTTTTCCACCTTCGACGCTGACCACGACACAACGGAGGGCAACTGCGCGGTGACCGTCCATGGCGCCTGGTGGTACGAAGCCTGCTATCATTCTAATCTCAACGGACCCTATGCGACGTCCCCCACCACTGCCCACAAGTACGGCATTGACTGGGCCTCGGGCCTTGGCGTGGGCCACCCTTACCGCAGGGTTCGACTCATGCTCCGCTAGGCATCCTGGCAACCAGCACTCTTATCTCTCCTGAGCCGCTTCCGGATGCTCGGCCTTCTCCCCCTTGCTAACTGCCTCTGCTCTCCCGTCCACATTTTAAAATAAAACCATTTTAACCCTTTCCTGGCTTCCAGTGACTGGGGAAAACTCAAGAGGGCAGAGTAGGGACATGGGTTTTAGCTCCATTCAGGGGAGACTTCTTTCAGTCAGGACGATGGGAGTCTCAGCCGCATAAAGCAGGAAGGCTCTCCTCGCTGCAGGTGTCCAAGCCAAGGCCCGGGGGACACTTAGGGAAGGACTTGGGACTCAAGTGTTCACTGACAGCGCCCTTGGGCCCTGTGGGTCCTGCAAATGGGTGGTTTTGTGGTAGAAATTGCACAGCTTCCTCACCCTCTCTGTCGCCCGTGCCTGTCCTTTCTAGGTTGTCTGTTTCCCGCCCCGGCCCCGGTTGTAAACCAAGTCCTCATCCTTGGCTTCTTCTCCATGGGTTCCACCAGGGGCTGGTTTACACTCAGGGTCAAACCCAGGGCCACAGGGGGTGAAAACGCAGTCACCGAGTTAGCAGTTATCAAGCCGTGGATTTGCCTCAGCCACATTCTAGAACAGTGATGGCGAACCTTTTGAGCTCGGCGTGTCAGCATTTTGAAAAACTCTAACTCTGGTGCCGTGTCCCATATAGAAATTTTTTGATATTTGCAACCATAGTAAAACAAAGACTTATATTTTTGATATTTATTTTATACATTTAAATGCCATTTAACAAAGAAAAATCAACCAAAAAAATGAGTTCGCGTGTCACCTGACACGCGTGTCATAGGTTCGCCATCACTGGCCTGGAACGTGGCGGAGCAGTGAGCAGTGAAGCGTCCGCTGTCTGCAGTGTGATAGGGAGCCCTGGGAGTGCATCCTGCTGGGTCACGTGACCGAACGATCTTGGACGCGTTACTCAACCTCTGCAAGTCCCCAGTTCCTGACTGCAGAGCCCATTGAGGTTTAGACCAGGTCGCTGCCGCACCAATTCACACTAAAAGGGTAGGGATTCTTGGGAATTTGGAGATGGGAAGCTGTTGTAGTCCACGGGCTGGAGTTCTGGGATTCTTCTCCAGGTGGGTAGAGAGATGCCAGTGCGGGGCCTCTTCTCAGGTCCCGTGGTGGCAGTAAGTGGAGGTAAAAAAATCAGCAGATTGGTTTTTGGGGAAAGCAGCCTCCTGGCAAGAGGGGGCTCAGGTGCTGAGTCCCACGCTAGGGCTGATGGCCTCCTGGCAGGTGGAGTCCTTCCCTGGAGCACAGCCTGCAGGCTCTGGAGATCCATTCATTGCACAGATCCGTGCCGGGCAGGGCCTGCAATTCACACCTCTTCCCCAGCCCTGGCCGCGCACACCGTCCGAGCTCCTGTGGTGAGCAGTCCCCAGTGGTTGGCATAGACAGTGGCACAGGCTGTTCCGGAAGTGGCGGGACTCAGAAGTTCTCGCTGGAGAGGAGGGAGGGGAGAGGCGAGTCCCGGGCTGCTAGGAGCGGTGCTGCCCCAGGCCGAGGGTGGAGCTTTCCTGGTCGCCGGGAAGGGCTGGGCCCGGCCTACAAGTGAGGGCAGGAGAGCGCGGCG